CTAGTTGCTAGTTGCATCCACCAAATTCTACCAAGTCCCACCATTTCACTTGTTTGAAAGTTGAACCAAAGAACAAGATTTATGTGAAAACAACAAAGCTATATGCTTACATATCCTCATTTTAGATGAATTACTCAAGACCTCTAATAGTAACAGTTCTTTTTTTTTTTTTTTTTGGCCATCTAGTAATATACTTGTATCAAAAATCAGAAATTAAATCACACACACACACACATTTGTCAAAGGTCTTAGTTATTGAAAAAAATTGAAGAGAAAAAGACTAATATCTAGATAATTAAATCACACAAGGATGTTTTTTTTTTTTTTTCCCTACCAACCATACACAGCAAGGATGGTTCAAAACTTGAACAATGACCTGAACTTATTCAAACCAGCAACTTTGGATGCTAGATAGAAGGATCGCGACATCCAAAAATGACCGATATCTTGGCTAAACTTGCGAAAACAGAGTAGTCAAGACGGTTTACCAAAACAATTTGAAGTTTGAACCTCCTATTAGCAAACCAATAAGTCAAGCACGTTATTCTGTGTCATCAAAGTCACAATCGTATAAAATCAGCCAAGAATGTTGCACCAAACTCTCCATATATATCACCTCTAAATAAGAACAGGAAACAAATCAATCAAAGAATTGATCCCATTATCCCACAGTAAAACAAAAATTTCAATTTTTTCTTTTAACATGTTTACAATGGAATCGACCCAAACCCAAAGAAAAAAAGAGAGTATACCTTTTTTCAAGGTGCAACAAAAATTTCAATATTGGAAAGTTTTGAATTCGAAATAAGTATATATAAAAAAGAAACATTATATTACTTTTCTTAATCCATACGTAGGAGACTATGGACCACACGGAAAAACCATGCCAAAAAGTCCTACATTTCTTTCTTGTGCTTACTGTTTTCCTGTTTGGACCATTCGTTTCCAGGACGTCGTAGCATCGTTTTCGTCATAAAAAAAATATTGATCTTTGACCGGCGACCAAGTAGCACACATTCAAAAACCACGTCACCGACCATTTGACTCTTTCCGTCTCCATATAACCTAATCCGCCTCCGCATGCCCTCATCTCTGCTCTTAAGACCCTCTTTTTATCCTGTTTCTCTGAGAAAACCTGTTTTTGGGTTTCTCTTTCTAAGGTAAAGGAATCAAAATGGGGAAGAATGGATTGTACATAAACGTACCGAATGTTTTCCGGTGCCCAATTTCGATGGACGTGATGAAATCTCCCGTAAGTCTCTGCACAGGAATCACTTATGACCGCTCCAGCATCCAGCACTGGCTTGAGTCCGGCCATGATACCTGTCCCGCCACCATGCAGGTCCTATCGTCCAAGGACTTCGTCCCTAACCTTACTCTTCACCGTCTGATCAACATGTGGGTTCAGTCTTCCACTCGCCGGCCGGAATCTGAGTCTTCGGTGATCTCGGAGGAGGTCGTTAAGGTTTTGATGGAGAAGATTGAAAGAGAGAGCTGTGTGGACTCTTTGTCTAAGGTCGTGGAGCTTGTTAGCTCTTCTGAAGATAACCAAAGGTTCCTGGCGCGATTCGGCGGGTTTATTGAGGTGATTTCCGGTGTTTTGAGGAAGAAATGCGTAGAGATCGAGGCTTTGGAGCTGGTGGTTAGTGTTTTCAATTCGATTTTGAGTGAAACTGGAATCAAAGAACGGTTGAATGGATTGATCCTCAAAAGCAACCAAGAATCGGATTGCATTTCTTCCATCATTTCAATTCTTCGGGACGGAAAACTGAAATCTCAGATCCAATCTGTTCGTTTGCTGGAATCAATCGCAATCGACGAAGAATCGAAACGCAAAATCGCCGAATCGTCGGAATTTTTTCCTATCCTACTCAATCTAATGAGAACCAGTGCCGATCCCACCCTAAACGACACCGTTTCATCTCTGTTAATCACCGTCGCCGAAACTCCCAAAGCCAAATCCCAGCTGGTCCAAAACGGCATCGTATCAATCCTCTCGTCCACCATAACCGACCAGAACAACAAAAACCACGACAAGGCGATGAAGCTGCTGGCGGCGGTGAGTAGTTGCAGCGAAGGGAGATTGGCAATAAGAGAGGACTCTAAATGCGCTGCGGGGATAGCGAATAGGCTGCTGAAGGTATCCAAAACTGCGGCGGAGGACGGGGTTACGGTGCTGTGGAGCATGTGCTGCACGCACAAGGACGAGAGGGTGAAGGAGGCGTTGGTGAAGAGCGATGCGGTGGCGAAGTTGCTGTTGGTGATGCAGAGGGAAGGAGAGGAGGGGGTGGTGAGGAGGAGGTGTGCAGATTTGATCAAGGCAGTGATGGCGGGATGCAAAGGCGAGTATTTGGCCGGTTATCAGACCAAAACTACCCATATCATGCCTTGTTGATTGTAAAACAATTACAGATTTTTTTCTTTTAAAGAAAGAAAAAAAACTTCTTTTTAGATACATACACAGAAGCAAGGAAATTCAAAATACAGTTTTTTTAAGAAAAAAATTATCACATTCGTCCATTAACTTTTTTTTATTGGGACTACGATAAAAGAAAGATAACCCTCTTCATTT